ACCTACACCACAGACTAAGGGTTTTGGCACGGAAAAGCTGAACTTCGATATTTACAACAGATGGGGAGCTTCCAAGCATGCATTATGATAAGGTGCACAGTATAGTCCTTTTACTAGCACAGGTACGCTTGTATCTGAGCTCAAGTGGTCCTTTTTACTTTGAGAAATCCCTGCCAAGCAGAGTCTAGTGTCACCTTACTCCACACACTACACCCTTTTGTCTGGCTCACAGTTTGGTAGAACATTTACACACCAGTTAGTAACTGAAGATTTGTGTCTAGGACACTGAGTACCTTTTACTTTTTGCTACAAGAGTTCACTTACATGGATTTGATAATGTGCTTTAGGTCATAACTTAATACTGTACATTCAAAGGTTATAGTACATTGTTCTAAAGTAGTTTCCCCAAAATATGTTCTGCTGACACTACCAATGTTTGTGGTTTTGTAGGCTCCCATACTGACTGACCCTCATGTGTTCATTTTATAGTAATGAGCAACCGGCACTGTTGGTGGATGAGCAGGTGGTAAGTTTATGAAGAGTTCCCTAAGGCTGGCCAAACATTACACAATTTTCTTGAGATTTTTATTTTAGATTGACCACAAACCATATAATATGAGGTCTAATCTAAACAACACTTTCAATTGTATCCATTTAGGCAGGCCCTTGTGCTACATAGTTGAAGGTAAATCTAAAGGAAATTGGACAGAAAATTGTATAGTGTATGGCCAGCCTAAGGCTGGGTTGAGACTGTTGTGCTGCAGTAATGCATGTGTTGGGCGGTGGTGTGCTGTGATGCCATTCATCCTTGATGCTGAACTCCAGGTATGAACTTGATTGCAGACCTACATTGGACCGTGTTAAGTATACATATTTCATACCTGATGGGCTGTTGGGGAAGCTGACAATCATTGTGTCTTTTGGCTCTACTACAGTGGTAGCAACAATCTTCTAGGTCCCATGCAAAGGGTTTACCTTCTGCACACTGCCTGACACCACTTCAATTCACAGAATGACTTGTATTTTTCTTAATGAATACAAGATGTTCTGTGATTAAATGAGGTGGATAGAAGGGAACTTGATGGCCCAATCTTCACCTCATCTAGTCAGATAACACAAGGCATTCTATGGGAATGGGCCCCAAAGGTTTTGTGGATAACACTAGTAGTGAAGACTGCTACAGTGGTTTCCAGTGGCCCTGTAGGTATGAAATATGCATCCTAACACTGGTCGAAGTTTGAAACAGTGCCATGCATTGCAGCAATTGTCCCTAAATAATATACACCAGCGCACATGTTTTAACATGCAGGCTGGTGTGAACAAGCCCTTAATGTCATCCCTTGGCAAAAGACGTGCATTGCAGCATGCAACAACGCAAGGTAAAGCACTACCATGCATTGTGATGGCCTGTGATACAAAAAATAGTACATGCACCATTTATGATGCAATTTGTTGAATAGTCTGTGTTAGCCCAACGCACCTTGCTGTGTGGCATAGCACATTAGTGTACTGCCAGTGTGAACCCAGCCGCAGACAGGTTCTCACCCACATGTTCCCTTGGGGTGCTGATGCTTAGAATAATCAAACCATTTCGATTTTTGCTAATAAATAGAATGTGAAATAGATCTAAATAAATATTTTTTTTACTGATGAATGTTTCTTGTAATAAATGTACACAAACTCACAGGGTACTTGGGAGAAGCTTCAAGGGGTACCTAAAATAAAACAGTCCCATGTGATAAATGGATTTGAGGGGTCTATTTATTAAAAAAAAATAAAAATTTAAAAGCCTTTTGTCCAGTATATTTGCCTGTACATTTGTTCCTTGTGAATTGGGCAAAAGTGAATGTTCTTCAGGCTATTCTCTCTTCTGAAAGAAAGTTTGTTGATTAAGGGCAGTAGGAATATACTGCATTATGGCCAGTAGATGGAGCTGAGGAGCATAGAAAATATATGTCTTCGTAAAAAGAGATAAAGAGGTAAATTCTAAAGAACACTGGAATAAAAGGCAACCATTTATCTGCTAATTCCCTCCAGTGTTCTCTAGGAATGTTACATGGTATCTCTTGTTACAAAGACGTATGTATTTCCTATGCTCCTCGGCTCTATCTAGTGGCCAAAAAGCCTTATGCACACTGCAGCTCAAAGAAGCTACTCTTACAGGAGTTTGAGCGGTTTTCATCTTTTATTTTATCTGCCTGTTAACTCCCCTCCATGTTAGCCTATGTGTCTATGCACACTATATGCAGTTTACAGGCAAAGAAAAGGTGAGGAGCTTTTAGGCATAAAAACACTCAAAAGCGGAAATAAAATTTCAATTTAGCACATGCTAACACATGAGCAGAATTCTGGCCAATAGAATACATTAACACCAGATATGGGAACACACATTCATGTGATTCTTTGCTGCTGGAAACTCCTGTAGGGGGAACAAAAACTTTTTGAGCGTCACAGTGTGAATGCGGCCAAATGAAGTAATTTACTAATGTCGATAATAAAATAACATTCTATCGAAAGAAAAAGTAGCCTAAAGAACAATTTTTTTTAAGTTGATACAAAATGAATGTACATGCAGAGCCATTGGACAAATGGCTATGCATTTTTTTTTTTTTTTGATAGACCCCTAAGTGTGCATAGTAAATATCACTCTTTCACTGCGCAGATCTACAGGCTTGTTTCATGTGTTTTCATTACACGTTGGATGTTAATACACCTAGTGCAATGAACGTCAACAGTCTCCATACCACAAAAGGTGGCAGTCTAGTAAGCTATTAAGACTACCTAGAAAGCTAATTTTTGATTGTTTGCTATCAATTCCTACACAAGTTTTGTAGATGCTTAAGTGAGGCCTCTCAACGCAACCCAAAGAATGGCTCCAGCTGGTCTATATTTAAGGTGAATACCGTGATGATAGCAGCATGGGTTTCCTAAGAACCTGAGAAGCAACTTTATACTGTACATAGTAGTCTGAGGATTACCATGATTTGTAAAAATACTGCTTAGAGGTCATAGCAGTAAGTCAGAGAAGCGACGCTCTAGCCACGTAAAATGTGTGTGTGTGAGTATGCAATATCTACTTTCAAACACCACACAGTCATTGTTATCAGATATATGGATAAAAATACCCAATTGGTCTTTTATATATAAAAATAACAGCAAATAAAAGCGAGAGATCTTGCCCATCACAGCTAGTCAGACCTATGGGGGTAGATTTACTAAAACTGGAGCATGCAAAATCTGGTGCAGCTCTGCAGAGCAACCAATCAGCTTCCAGGTTTTATTGTCAAAGCCTAAATGAACAAGTTGAAGTTAGAAGTTGATTGGTTACCATGCAAAACTGCACCAGATTCTGAGTGCTCCAGTTTTCCCCCATTTATTCTTCTAGTGCAGGACAGAAAAAGGAAAGCCAAAGTCCGATTCACTGCTATGGACAACAGCCCTGATTTCTCTTTCCCCCAAGATATGTTATTCCAGAAAAGAGTAGAGCAGCCTTTCTCAACCTTCTTAACATGGGAGAACCCTTGAAATAACTTTCCAAGCGCAAGAACCCCCTGCTACTATTTACTATATCTACAGCTCACAGTACATTAGTATGATGATTGTTAAGGAAAATACTCCCTTCATTTGTGGTCATTGGGAAGAATCCCCCCTTGCAGATAGTTAAAAAGATCATCATTGCCAGCGGTTACTCATCTGAGAGGCAGAAGTTGCTCATTGCCCAAGGAACCCTTAGAAACCTCTGGAGGAACCCTGGTTGAGAAAGGCTGGAGTAGAGTACGTAGTATGTCACTTGTGCATGACCTGTCCGGTGTCTGTATGATGAAGGCACTAGCAGTTCTAAGGCGTGACAGGCAAATGGGGATTGTACCGTTGAACGTATACAAAACTGCTTTTTCCCACTGTCAGCACATACTCCCTTTTAAACATATCCTATATACACATTTATGAAAACAAATGGAAACAAACATCCCAAATACAAAAAAAAAAAAAAAAAAAAAAATCCCTTTACAATATTTACATACGCAAGGTCTTTGCTGTCTTCAGTAAGTGATTCACACATTAAGATACACTTGTGTACCCTTTATACTTAGGCAGATTGTAGCTGGTTGTAGGCATCAAACACCAAAAATTCCTGGATTCACATTATCAAAAAAAGAAAATGAACACCAGAAAGGAGAAATAATAAAATATTTAAATTAAAAAAAAAAAAAATCTCCCTATAGAATAATGTCAACAGTATGTTTAACAAAATGGTCAACGAAGAGGAGAGAGGAACACTGAGATCATCTGACAGATGTTCATGATGGACTACTTGTTCTCCTGCTTGGTGAGGTGTTGTCTTGTAGAGTATTGCCACTGGCTAGTAGCTAAATTCTGTCCATTACTAATCATGGCTTCAGTATTGTGCCACATTTAATTGTGCTTCGTCTCGTAGAAAATGTGCATGTCCATATTGGTGCCATAGTCGTGGCTTCTTTTGTGGCATTCTTTTTAGTCCAGACAGTGATGTACAGACTTTTCACAGGTACCATAATATTTCCACAACTTTTTAGGAACTTCTTGTTCTTTGTGCCATTTACTCCTTTACTCCTGTTCTGGTCTTTTTTGACTGGCCACAGTGCTGGGATGATGATACCACCAATACGAGTTATCATTGTGTGCAATCTAACTAAAAAAAGATGGTCCATATGCATGAATTATACAATGGCAGGTGCAATGGAAATGTGCTACCCTCAGACCAAGTATGTACTTTTCCAAACACAAGTCTCCTTCAGAGTCTGGCAATCATGGCAATGTAACAGATGACATCTTATCATTCCACAATGTAGACTTTTATGCTCTCTGCACACAGAAGCTGTCCATGGATTTAGGTAGCTTGGGTTGACAATTAAAAAATGTACCATTGTCATAATCCAACTTGCATGCACACACATAAAATACTTGTGGTCCCTTTTGGCGTTATAAGTTCAGAAAGGATTATCTCCCTGTATAGTAAGCTCTCATACCACAGAATCCCGTATTTCGGATCCCAGTCGTACTCTGGGTCTTGGGCTTACTGATGTGACCTCTACAACAGTGTCCTTAACATTTAGCGGCCTTTTTTCAGATTCTGAAACAATTTTACTAGCAACCAAAGGATCATGAACAGGAGTATTGATAATGTAGTTGTCGTTCAGGGTCTGATAGCCTTTATGGTCCGCTTGTGGCATTGGAGCGCTTGTTCCATTTAATGGCAAACTTTCTGTCTGTTTGCCATTACTACGGATCTTCTTGGCTGGCTTATCATGTTTTACTGGCTTCAGGATGGACTTCATTCCACTCCGATGCTTATATAAGATGAACAGTGTTAAAATGACTAACACTACCACAAAAAGGACAGTCATGATTAAAAATTCATTCCAGTATGATTTTGACAGAAGTTTAGCTGTATGGCTCTCTGAGACAGACACAAATTTGGAGGAGTTGACCAGCTTATCGATGGCACTAACTTTCTTAAAGCTCACTTCAGTGTGAGGTCTTGGAGTAGTTGGCTTTACGGGACCATCTGTCTCCATACAGTACATGGCCATTAATTTCCTGAAATCGTATTCTACTGACCAACATTCGTACGTTCCCAACCTTTCAGGGCTGTTGACAAGGATCAGATCTCCGGATTCCAGAACAAAATAGGAGGAATCAATGACTTTGCCATTGTGGAGCCACTGGCGAGTTGCTAAGTTGGACAACAAATTACACGGCAGAGTGGTTGCGTTATTTGGTTGCAGTACAATCTTTTTACACTGTGGCTGTTCTGTTAATGGGAAAAAAAATATAGAACATCAATTATTAAGCATTCAAAATGATCACTTTTACTTAATTACAAAAACTAGTTCTTGGCAATTTACTGAGCCTCAATTGAACATGTAACGCCACCCCAAGCTCTACGTATTCAGTCACCCCACGTACTCAGAAGCATACCAGGAAGAGATGGCAGCGCACACCGAAAGCTGCTCAACTGCAAAATGTGACAGGAAGGTTTCAGGCCCATCCCCTCCAAAACCATGACCTCTAACACATTTCACCCGCCATAGGCTTATTTGTGTAGGTCTGCAATTTATATTTCAAAATTAAGCCCATACTATTTTTTTTTTTGTTTAATTTTGGTATATCCTGTAGCAGTTGCATTGTCCAGTTATTGCCACAATTTGATAAAATGTCTACTGCTAGATGACTGCATAATGACACATATAGGTACCGTGTTTTCCACAAAATATGCACACCCCACTTATTATTCGGGTTCCTCCATATAGTCCTAAAGAAAGGACCTTCTTTAGCTAAAAAGCTTTCATGAAAGAGAGAACAACAAGTGAATCTCAGCTTGGCATCTGCTCAGTTTTAAAGTAAAATATGGGGATGTCATGGTTGATTTTCTTCAGAAACTTCTAGTTCCCATGCTGTTATGCTAAACCACGGGCTTAGGTAGTTTCTGAGTCTCTGTCCCACATCAAATATGTAGATTAGAAAAATTAGAAGTCTTTATCCACATACTATGATATCCTATTTAGAAAGAGAGGACAGCAATAGCAGCTTTCATGTTTCTCCAATGACAGGTTTCCTCTAAAAGCATGCCATGGGTTCACACGACTTTCTAATGGCAGAGATGTTTACATTGCTATGTAAATTTAATATATCTCAGTTTAGAAACTGCTAACCCTTTTAGCTGTTCTCCCAAATCAGAATAATTCTGTTTGCCTTAAAGAGATCCAGTGCTGTTTTCCTTGCAGCCGATTCTTCTTACTGCTGAGGGTCACCAGTGTTTCCATCTCGGGTACAGGAAACTGGCTCTAGCTTACTTAGAAACCAGAGCCGGCTTCGCACTGTGCATGCTCAAGCTCATGCAATGCTTTGTGAATGGTCCTGCAGCCTGCTGGGATGTTTTGCATATCCCAAGAGGATTTCAGAGGGAAGGTGCAGGGCAAGGGATGTCCTCCTTACCTAGGTGAGGATTGCAGAAGTGGGACCGAGTACCAATAACAATTAGTACTCGCTCTACCCCTCCCCCCAAAAAAAACCTGTAAGTCATTACCTGTAAGCCAGCAGGACATCACGTTTTGAGTGACGTTCCGCTTTAAGTTTAATGCACTTAGTGGAAGAAGTGCAATGGCATTGCCTATCCTAACCACTGACAGTTATGACATGCTGAGAACTGGGTGGCCAAACATATCTACAATTTTTGTTTGTCTTCCACAATCGTATGACTTGTGCAGACATGGGGACCCTATAAATATATTTTTCACATCACTTTTCTAATGTAACTGCACTTGGGTTATATTAGGCAATCATATTAAATGCCACTAGTGTTTAGCTGTGTTGTATAACAAATTTAAAGCCCAACTCTGGGAAACTTGAAAATTCTCCCTTGTGTTGCACCCATACTGCAAAGGTTAACTGCTCTTTTAGACCTAGGGGGCATAGAAAAGAAGTTTTTAAACCCATACTCTGCTCCACCATGCTGCTAAACTGGTCCCTATACTGGTTCCTATACTCCAGTGGTCTAAGGTCCTCACGTCATCAACACAAATTCCTGGGTTCATAACCCTGCACAGGATGTGATGGCTCCTAGAGACAGTTTAATGCTGGAGCATGGGGGAGCAACAAGTCATCTAAGTAAATGCTTGTACTCTCCACTAGACCTAAATGAACAGTTAAACTTACCATGTGTAAAATATAGGAATATCAAGAAGTCTTACCATCTACTATGTTGACTCGTCCTCCAGGTCCCGTGCCATTCTTTTGCTCGCAGAGATTTGAATCTGCATTTTCTATGTCCTGGAGCCAGTGCCTGAAACATAGGAACACAACCATGCTTGACAAACTGTTGGGGTTGGAGCCAGACCAAAGAACGCGGACACGCTAAAACTGATGACTTACTGGGAGTTTGATTCGTGTACATGGTGATGGATACTACGACAGCCCTTCTTGCTCCATGCACAGTAGGGATCACGTGACAGGACACATTCTCCACAGGTTGCGTACATGCTGCAGTTAGAGACTGGCACTTGCACCACCATGGATCGCGATGAGGCGTACACCAAGCCCTTTGTTGAGAAAAAAAAATAGCAATTTACCATGTATCAACATAATTCTTTTAACTGCACTTCTCTGACACCTTTGCAGCAAATATCAAGGTGAGAAATGGTTTACAACACAGCACCTTGGAAGAAACATTGGTCATTTCTCTATTACAGTGTCAGATAAGCAGGACCCTTCTTTTTAAAAAATGAAACTCATGCCCAGTGCCTGAACTATTATGCAGGACACAGCTGCTTGTGACCAGGATGGCCCCAGGTTTGCTTTAAACAAGGTTTTGCCTTAATGATGGCCCCATACAGATGCTTATATGTATTTTTTATTCCTGTCTGACCATTGTAGTGAGAAGAAGAAGCCCTGTGTAAACTCTAAGCTGTACCTTGAAGCTTACACAGGGGCTCAGTATTCTCTCCTTGCCTCTATGTGATAGAGCTGGGTGCCTGAGTGTTCACCCATCAAGCACCATAGCTGTCACACAGGAGGAGGGGGGTGAGTCATATGCTCTCTCATACCCAGAAGTATGGGGTATGCCACTTTGCCTTCAAAAGAGAACAGTGCAATGGTGGTGGGAGTAAAGGGAAGGTAAGTAAAAGTAGATGTGGGGCTGCCATTAAAATGAAACTGCTGTCCAGTATAGACAAAGCACAGGATCCCTTTAAGTGCATCATCCTGGACATCCACTCTATACTAGAGAAGCAATTATTAGGTTGGAGTGGAGTTTCAGTTTCATAAAATGTGGCATCCAACATCACACTTGAGTGTATGCAGCTGCATTAATGGGATGTAACATTGTATTTCTTATAGTTGGTTGACCAAAGGGCACATAGCAGCATGATATATTTTACATGTTCATTAATCAAGTGCTGACATTGATATATGTTCCTACCTTACTGTGATCAAGCAGCAACTCCTGCACTGAGTCAGTATCTGGGAACAGCCGAATCTCCTCAATGATGTAGACTTTCTTATTTACACTGACAGCTTTGTGCAGTCTTCCGTCATCTAGAGATCAAGGCAACCAATATTAGCAAAAAGATCCGCATTTCTTTAATCTCCGCTACCTTTTAATGGACTTTTAATGGGTTGAAAACTAAAAAAAAAATAGCTTATCTTAGAATGCACTTAGATTGAATTACAATTTAAGTTACTGCTATTGTTCAGTACAAATGATGTGCAGTTTTTAAAACCAAGAATCTGAAAAAAATAGTTACTAGATGCCAACGTCAATGAGAGCAGCTATCTGAATACCCAGTAGGAGACCATATCAATTGTTTGCGTTATAACAATGAAAGCGCTACTAAAGCTGTAGTAGTAACTACTGTCCAATATAATCAAATATTTTAGATTCCAAAAAGGGCTAATGTATTATAATGCAGCAGCATTATTTGATTTAAAAAGGATCTTCAATCCCATATGGTCATTTCCTATGACTCCTCTTCCGCCATCTTTCCATATCCTGTCTACAGGTCTTTACCAGGTCTTTGGGATCAGGGATCTTGGACATTGCAGACAGCTGCACCGTGTGTGCATGTATGGGTATCCACAGGTTTCTGTCAGGTCACTGGGATCTGGTATTTGCCAGGTCTTCGGGATCTGGTATGTGAGACACTGCAGACTACTGTACCTTAGGTGTGCATGTACTCACAAGTCTCTGGAAGGTCACTGGGATCTGTGATGTGAAACACTGCAGACAACCGTGCCATGTGTGCGCACGTATTCACAAGTCTCTGCCAGGCCTTTGGAATGTACCAGATACCAGATGCCAAAGACCTGGCAAAGATACATGCACATGTATCCCTGTGGATACTTGCACATACTGTACATGGTGCAGTTGTCTGCAATGTCCCAGATGCCAGACAACTGCAACATGTGTGTGCATGTACAGGTATCTGCGGGTCTCTGCCAGGTCTTTGGGATCTGGTATCTGAGACACTGGAGACAACTGCACCATATGTGTGAATGTGCTGGTATCTTCAGGTCTCTGACAGATTTTTGGGATCTGGAATCTGCCAGGTCCTTGCAGACAACTGTACCATGTGTGTGCATGTGCTTGTATTCTCTTGAGCACAGATATGCCGCAAGTCTAAGCCCTAGGCACCTGTGGCACATCTGTGCATGCGTGGAATCTCAGGCATGAATGTACCTCTCAGTAAAACACTGCCTCATGGCATGTGATGTGGACATCCCAGGAGGCAGCCTTATGTCATTTTCACCTAGACATGAACATAGAAAGTGCTGCCCCGCAATTAAAAAAAAATTGTATATTCCTAAAAAAGGATAAACATTTTTCAGTTTATGTAATACTGTAAGGATGAAGGAAGAACCAGGATAGAACAACTCATTGCCATGGATGAAGGACCAATTTTATTGGCCACAGAAAAGAATATTCACAGTAATATGCAGTATATGCAACCTAATCTGATAAGAAGCTGCCTGTGCTGAAGTCCAATCAGTACAAGGTATATTATAAATACGGTAGCAGTTAGAGGTTACAGGATGTACTGTATATTTCCATTTGATAACTCATTAAAAAATAAAAAAATCTCAAATGTACGTATGACTTTTACAAATCTGTAATCTAATTTCCACATGTACTTCTACCACCAAATTTAGAGAAATATAATGTCTTTTAGAAGAGAGGTGATACAAGTCTGACATCTTCATTGTCTCTTACCTGTTCCCAAGAACATGACATCATAGGTTTTCTTGAGGCCCTTGACCCTTTGTACACTGATCTGCTGGTAGCGCATTTGTGTCTGCAGGAGCAACGGTTGGCTCCGTACCGCACTGTCCATCAGAAAATGATCTTTGATGAAGTTTAACACTCTGTCCGGCATTTGAAGTGAAGAGTTGATCTTCATATTTCTTGCCTTGTTGGTAATGCACTGTTGTACATCGAAACAACTCAATTAATTGGCATTTCATGAAAGACAAAGAACTTTAAATACAGCAATTCACAAGCAGAAATATACTACTGGAAACTAGTTCAACACAGCCCTATTTGTTTTTTCAGTAGAATAGGTATGATGGATAAACCTCGGTCAAGTTTTTACTGCTGTCTGGGTCCTGATATTTTCACCAAGACCAGAATAACCAAAAATCACATCTGGCAGATGTTAAGACCTCTCCCCATTCTACTATATTCATGTGCTTTTGGGCACTCTCTCCCATACGAGAGAGATTCCATCACTTCCTGTCCTGGTGACACATAGTCACCGGGACATTAAGTGAGAGACATGTCCTTAATGGAGGTACAAACAGCAAAAACAACCTAACAGATGTTTTAGACCTTCTCCATGCTGTACAAAATAAAATAATTAAAAAACGTTTGGCTTCACTTTTCACTTGGAATATAAAAGATGATGGATGCTTCAGCATGGCGCAGTGGTAAAATATAGACCCAAATGTACAAGAAGGCCAGAGAATTACTGACCATTGACTAGAAGCAGCTCAGACAAGTACTTGCTCTGCTGTATACAAAGCAGCTTTACGCCCCGTTCACACCTGAGTATTTTGTAGCTGAAAGCTACATGTTCAGCATTAACAATGCCATGGAAACTCTTCATACCTAAGCACTCGGGCACCCATCACTCAAAAAAATACAGGAGCTTCTTTATAGGCAAATGGTTTCTGGGCTCACAGACTTCGATGGGAACACTTAAAAAATGTGATTTCCTGGCGCCAACACGACAGCATACATATGGTAGTATGCTGCCATGGATTGATGCCAGGAAAGGAAAATTATGATAAGTATTTGATACATTTTTCCATTTTCCCGGTGCCAACATGACAGCATACTACCACATGCAAGGTGCTATGGATTGGTTCCAGGAAAGGAAATTTATGGTAAGCATTTAATACAATTTACAGAATTTCAGGCTCTCCTATAATAAAAGTCTATAGGGTAAAAAAAAAAAACACACAACCCCTGCCCCAAAGAGGCTACAGTACGGCACATCACTGCTAAAAACATGTGAAGAATGTACCAAAAAAGCCTTTTAAATTGCCTGAATATGCTACACTCAGGTGTGAATTTAGACTTTAGCCACAAAATACATTGCTCGAAAGAATTAATTAAAGAAGCACTTTTTAATGAGAGTATAGCATCAAGTCAAATAAACTCCTGGGATATTGACCTGGTCAGTTAAGTAGCAGAGGGGGATGTTAATCAGTTTCAGCTGCTTTGGTGTTAATTAAATTAACAACAGGTGCACTAGATGGGCAACAATGACACGATCCCCAAAACAAGAATGGTTTTACAGGTGGAGGCCACTGACATTTTTTCCCTACTCTTCTTTTCTGCCTGTTTTTCACTAGTTTTGCATTTAGCTAGGGTCAGTGTCACTACTGGTAGCATGAGGCGATACCTGGACCCTACAGAGGTTGCACAGGCAGTCCAACTCCTCCAGACTGGCACATTAATATGTGCCATTGATAGAAGGTTTGCTTTGTCTCCCAGCACAGTCTCAAGAGCATGGAGGAGATTCCAGGAGACAGGAAGTTACTCTAGGAGAGCTGGACAGAGCCATAGAAGGTCCTTAACCTATCAGCAGGACTGGTATCTGCTCCTTTGTGCAAGGAGCAACAGGCTGAGCACTGCCAGAGCGCTACAAAATGACCTCCAGCAGGCCACTGGTGTGAATGTCTCTGACCAAACAATCAGAAACAGACTTCATGAGGGTGGCCTGAGGGCCCAACATCCTCTATTGGGCCCTGTGTTCACTACCCGGCCCAATAGAGCTTGATTGGCATTTGCCATTGAACACCAGAATTGGCAGCCTTGTGCTTTTCACAGATGAGAGCAGGTACACCCTGAACACATGGCAGACGTGAAAGGGTCTGGAGAAGCCATGAAGAATGTTATGCTGCCTGTAACATTGTTCATCATGACCGTTTTGGTGGTGGGTCGCTGATGGTCTGGGGAGGCATATCCATGGAGGGACACACAGACCTCTACAGGCTAAACAATGGCACCCTGACTGCCATTAGGTAACAGGATGAAATCCTTGGACCCATTGTCAGACCCTACACTGGTGCAGTGGGTCCCGGGTTCCTTCTGGTGCATGACAATGCCCGGCCTCATGTGGCGAGAGTATGCAGGCAGTTCCTGGAGGATGAAGGAATTGATACCATTGAATGGCCTCCATGCTTGCCTGACCTAATTCCAACAGAACACCTCTGGGATATCATCTGCCAGGTTGCACTTCAGACTGTCCAGGAGCTCAGTGATGCCCTGGTCCAGATTTGGGAGGAAATACCCCAGGACACCATCCGTCATCTCATTAGGAGCATGCCTCGACATTGTCAGGCATGCATACAAGCACGGGGGGGCCATGCAAACTACTGAGTACCATTTTGAGTTACTGCAATGAAATTTCAGCAAAATGGACTGGCCTGCTGCATAATTTTTTCACTTTGATTTTTGGGGTGTCTTTGAATTCAGTCCTCTGTAGGTTTATCATTTTCATTTCCATCAAAAGATGGGACATCCTTACGTTCCTAACACATAACCCTGTCCATATCAGTATAGATATCCAGCAGGAGATTCCCCATTGAGATCTGATGTGTTCTCAAAGTGTTCCTGTTTTTTTTTTGAGCAGTGTACTACATACAATCAACAGCCGAGTTGCTGCTTCTTACCACTGGAGGGTAGTATTACCATTAAATCCATCTTAGGTTGCAGGAAAGTTCCAACATTTAGCAAGTTTTTTATTTTTCTTGAAAGAAAAACCATCAACAATTTTTGTTGCCTGTAACTCTTTCCATGCAGCTACGAATATGTCCATGTTTGGTTTTTAAATTCACTGGGAAAGAAACATCTATAACAAGAAAGACTGCATTTTGTAGAAGAGTGATGGCAGGAAAAACTCCAAGTGGTCCATTGAATCCATCCAACACATATATACACACACATATAATTTTCTTTAAACCATATCTTTCCAAAATTTAGTTTTAAACTTTCCTCCTGCTAGTTTGAGGTTGTATCCCTGTGTTCCTGAGCTTATTTTTACTTTATTTATTTATTTATTTATTTATCTTAACTTCATATTGAAAATCCTTCCCTCCTGAACCTTATTCAGGCTTCAGTCCTGTCTCCCCTTTCCCTTCTTTCCTCCAGACATAAGAATAATTTTCAGAATAATTTTGTGAAAGAGGGCAATGTCAGTACTTACAGCTCCAGGTCGTGGCTCGGGAACAGAGTGGGTGTAGGTACTCCATTGCTGAGACTCCCGGTTCACTTCTTTATAGAGGCCATTGAAAGCCTTCTGTACATCGTGCATAGAGAAGGCACACACAGCCGAGCTGCCCACACCTCCATTATTCCTGGAGAGAAAAGATTCCTTTAAGAAATGAAGTCCAATACACTCTAATGAGCTGTCAGCTTCAAAACAGACTTGCATCTTAAAGATGCTACAGGCCTACGACATGTTTCTAATTTAAGCAATCTGCCTTTAATTCCAGTAAATGTCAGTAACCCTCTATATACATGGTCAGACATACATGCTGTGAGAACACAAAATTAGGACAAAAAGGGGCCATTACAGAATAAAAGACAGAAGTCTAGACAACAATATTGGAATCTAATAAACAACGAAAAGAAACATTGCGAGTTGTCAAGTCTCAGCAAGGGACCTGTGAAGACAAAGACAACAAGTCCTCACAGCTCCACACAGCAAGAATACAAATCACGTTCTGCTTACCACTGAGAGGTAAAGACTCCATAGAAGATGGTACTGGCCCAATGGTCCTCCCCTGGAGTGAGCACAAACATATCCTGTAGCACATTGAATGGGAAGTTATCTCCAGGACGAGTGCACAGGAGCTGGGCCTTCAGGAACGTGGTCCACTTCCTCTGCAATACACGTTCTCCTCCCAGATCACCCTATAGGGGGAAAAAGATGATCACTTTCACCATTTCGGTTTTCCCCTTTTTAACAACATATATAAATTGGCATTCTAATCTCCTGGTGGTAAGAACACACATTCATTATAATAACTACATACATGTCCACATCAAACCTAATTCTAAAAAAAAGAAGACATGGCTTCAGCGTATTTATGGAGTGCACTGTAGGAAACCTGTCATGCTAGGAATATGAGAGCTGCTACCATGGATTTGTTTTTGAAGGTGCAAACAATAGTTGCCACTAGAGCAGATCTCCAGGGAAAGGACAAAAACCCCCTTACAATAATGCAAGGGTTAATTGCATATTTAAGTCCAATGCCCTGCATTAGATGTGAAGACATGGAGAGACAGTCCACTACAGGAGCTTAGGGAAGAATAGGAGAGTGCTGGCTGCCGGGAAGTTGGGTGTGTGTGGGTTGAGAATCGGGTAAGTAAAAGTGCATTTTGGGATTCCCTAGACCTAAATGAGCATTTAACCCTTGCAGTGAGGGGGCAGCCCCTCTGCAAGGGAGGACTTTCCCTTTCTCCAAAGTTGGGTTTTAGAACTCTATTACTTCGTAAACTACTGACCCTGAACAAACATGCTGCCAGTGAAGTCTAAGTCCATCTCATACCTGTTTTTGGGTCAGTGACTCATCAAGTAGTAAAGGAAGGATAAGGATGATAGCTCTTGCATCTCCAAAAACAAGTCAGCAATGGCAGTTCCATGTTTCTACCTTGTTAGTGACTGTTGCTCATCTATGGCAGTGCCTTAGAATGGCAACATGATTGTGTTTTAGTCAACACCTCCTATATATGAAGGATCTTCCTAAACGTCATTTATGTGGCCATGCCATAAGCACAATCTGTTATGAAATTCCATGGTCACTCACCCATCATGTTCAAACAGGGGGACCAGGGAGAGAAATGTTCTGCAGTAACTTCCCAGAGAGCAACTTTAATTGGTCTATGCCAGTAACATTCAACTTTCTTGATAAGGGGAGCCTCAAGGGCAGCCCTCAACATCACCAAAGGGCCGCACATAAAATTCAGTGAATATTCAGCATCAGAGACAGCAGACATAACTGGGTATATTGCCAAAAGACTATGGGCATAATACAAGAGGTGGTCAGAGACTGCAGACATGATGCAATGATGCAAGAGATGGTTCATAGACTGCAGACATGAGACCGGAGATGGTCAGAGACCGCAGACATGATACCAGAGATGGCCACAGACACAGACATGACACAAGAGATGTCAGAGACCGCAGGTATGATACAAGAGATGGTCAGAGACTGCGGACATGGTAAAACGGGTTTAGTTAGCACACATTTGCAAACACGTGCATAAGCTACGAAGCCTATGCACTACAAACCTATGAAAGTCAAGTTCTGTTTGGCCCCTAGATTACTGTAAAACATTTTCTTTTTTGAAGCACTTAATTAAAGAAAGTTCATGTTGGATCTGGATGTTGCACCAAGAAGCCCTATATAACATGTACTTCAAAAGTAGATTTAATAAAGGCAGCTTCAAACCACCATAAAAAAAAACACAAAAAAAAGCAGTAAGTAAAAAGATGTACATCTTATCCTCACCTTGCACACTCGGGCAATCCGGGAAACAAGGGGGTTTTCAAAAAAATTAAGCTCTTTTCCTGTCTCCGTGAAAAAGAAATAAATCTTATCATCATCCCCCCCCACAGGGTTTCCTTTGGGAAGACTCTCTTGTATATGAGCTGAACCAACAAAAGCTGGATCTGTTAATGACAAAGCAATAGCTAATGAATTTAATAGCAGGTCCTTGGCATAGTTAATCATAGTAGCAACACAAACACACATCCCAGCCTGAATAATAGTCCAGCAATGCTCTTATTTACATACCAGATACAAGCCATCATGCATAATCACACAACCCTCACCCTGTTTTACTTAGTTGAAATTACAACCATTCAGCACAATTATCTTTGAATGGAATAAAATGCCTTTTCCTTCTGGATGCTGTAAATTAACCAGTTTATAAGCCAAATTCTACATAATAACCCCAGCACACACTGCTTGATCTACAGGAAAACCTCAAATGGATTCGGCTTAGCAGCCAAGTGTCTGTAGCTCTGGAAAAGTTGCAGATACTTCAAAGATAGTCTCTACTGTATGGATATCATACGCTATGACATTCTGCCCAAATAGATTCCTATCAAAGGAGGAAAATCAAAGGCTAACCTTGGAGCCAGTTCAAGGAGTTCTCAGTCTTCAGAATAATCTTGCTGTCTTGGCTCTTGTATATGCTGGGCTCGTTCCCTTGGAAGTTATTGACGGTGCCACCATACATGTCCCCATCTGGTAGTCAAGAGAGAAGCACATAGTGATAAGTATGAACACAAAGAAGGCTTTTGAAAATGGCACTTTAAAGAGAAAAGATGAGGTACAGGATCTCCTACCATCCAGATTTCATGTTCAACTTTTGGAACAAGGAAATATCACTTCTGGTTAGTTTCTATGGGTTTACCACACTTTGCTCTTCACATTTTCCAATTAGCCCAAATGGGTCTCCATTAAATGTATAAGACCTCAAAAGGAGCTACTCACCGACCATGATGGCTGATGACTTGTATTCGGGATCGAAAGGACATCGTCCCTTTCCATCTTCTGTGATTGTCTTCCCACTGGAGTCCCTTTCCAAGGTGAAATCACTGATTCTCTGGAAGTAAAAGGGTAGAGCGGTGTCAATTCTTTCATAGTGCCAGCGATCAGTTGATTTAAATTTTTATCTGATCCCCAGCTAGGGGGAGTGGAATGTCCTCAATGTGGGGATGTCTATGGTATCTTCTGATGTAAGGGGGAAGTGTGAAGGGTAACCTGATGTAAGGGTCACTCTGATGGGAACCACTCTGATGTAAAGGAAACTCTGACGTGAACCACTTTGATGTAAGGGGACTTTAATAGGGACTTTGATGCTAGAGGGAATCTGATGGGGACACTGACATGGGGGGACTCTGATGGGGTACTTGATGTGAGGGCAGACTCTGATGTAAGGGATATTTTGATTGGGACCCTGATGTAAAAGGAGACTCTAATGGCGACTGTGATGTAAGGGGGACCCCAATAGGAACGCTGATGTAAGGGGGACTCTGAAGGGAATTTTTTTCCTCCCACAATTATTTGTACAATATACGATGTGGGCCTTGTACTGAAAAGGTTGGAGAGTCCCCTGATCTAAAGTAAAAAATTTAAAGTGAAAAAACTTTAGGCTTGCTTCCGCCATCATATGAAATTATTGTTACAACCCCTAACACCTACCCCTCTTTTACATGCTCACGCAAAAGGCAGCCAATCAGTGCTCTTACCAAGCACAGAACAGACCATGGCGGCAGAAGTTTGCCAATGGGGTAACAGCTAGTTGACCTTGGAGGGGGAGGTTGGTTTGTTTTTTTATGGCACAAGCAAGAGGACCAGTAGATCTACAGTCATTTTTGTACTATAGATTCCCTTAAGGACCAATTCACACTCCGAATGCATTTTTGCTTACAGTTCACACCACACTTCATTCCAGTGCCTTTTTTATGCATTTTTGCTGTGTTCCAGTACAATTCTGTGCAGAAAAAATGCAGCAAGTTCTCCCTTTTTTTTTTCTGCATCAGAAACTGACTGGAACCGACTGCACTGGTGTGAACCATGGCCTTTGGAATACATGGAAAACACTGTGCGAGCATTTTTGATGCAGAAAAAAAAAAAACCACACTGGACTGCATCGGGTGTGAACCAGCCCTTAAAAGTACTCATTCAAACGCATTATTGTGGCAGATTTACCGCTTTTCATATTGAGTAACAAGGGTAAAGGTTGCACTTCACATCTACCATGTTGAGTGAAAAACTGCAATACTTTCATTTCATTCTGATAAAAATACGTTCAAATGGGCAAATGTACTACTCAGAACAGCCAGAATACCATTGGCAAAACACTGACTGAAGTCATTGTCCTTTGTGGATCTTTTCATCGCAGAATTTGCCATGTGTATCATATATATGGAATAATGTATTGCTATATATCCATAAATCAGGCTATATGTACAGATGTGAGTGTCAATGTAATGTTCCCCTGTAGTGGGGGCTCTTCTAATTGGTTTCACCGCGGGAAGCAATGAGCCGGGCAGAATGTGTTTATGTGTGCCTGTTTACAATGATTACACATTTGCATGGGCACCCTTGGGCATCGGTGCATCTGTGCATAATCAACTTTTAGCTTGATTCCGGAGCAGTTGGCATGTGTATAAATATTGATATAGTTAATAATGTGCAGGTAAGCAGATGCCTTTTCAACGGCTCTCCACAGATGCCAAATTAACCCGTTTAAAGACAGTTTTCTGGTGATGAAGTCGTTAAAAGCCTTGCAAATGGCAGTCAGTTTACAGTTATGTGGCATGGAGTGCCAGTGTTGGGTGTTACACTTTCTGGGATGATGATGAATATCGATACGATTGTGATGTCACTAGAACAACAGTGACCTCACTTCTATCCACTCAACAAGTTTCAGGTGATGGCCTACATATACAGACAATTGTTTATTCAGACTCAAATAATGGCCCCATAGTACAAACAAGGCAAGCTAATCATACAAATAATGCATTAGGAAATGTAGTTCTACAGCCAAGAGGTCTCCCCAGCATATAATAATCATGGAAATGTGTAAGCTGATCTTGATGGCTGAATCTACTTATTGGTGAAATAAAAATGTCTGTTTTTTTTAAATATGAACCCATGGCCCTCTCTTTTTCCTTCTATATTTCTCCAATGCCATTCTATGGAAATCACTATTGAAAGGAAACCTATAGCTGCCTGGCTCTCATGCTGGTCCTCTGACTTCAATCATTTCCGAGTCACTTACCTGCACTATACAGTTATGTGAAATCAGAACCCCATATCTTTACACTTGGACCAGATTAGTGGAAACTCCACTGGATTAGGATAGCAGTTAGACTAAACTTCCAGCTTGCAGAAGCTCCTGTTGTCACCCCCCCCCCCCCCTTGGAGGACAGGTATAGCCCAAGCAATGACCAACAATGGGAGTATAGTATCAGCCTATATGACCCTAGTGTACACATGCTTCAGATTGGCCTACCTGAACATGGGCATGCAGCCGCTCAGGGCTGTACACATACTGCGGCAAAAATGAAACAGCATATCCCATTCTGCAGGCATGATCACCATTGAATCTGACTAATGCAAGTCTATCGATGGTAGTGCAGCATATGCAACCCTGGTGCCCAACCTGCAGCCGAGGAGCGCATGCGCCCATTAGGGTAATAGCATTGATCTCTACTAGCCTCATGTAACATGTTCCCAGTTTTTTACTGTCTCCTGCAGCATATCCCCAGCCAGAAATATAGAATGTCCACACTCTCTGGCCCTCATTTCCTCTATTAGGTCTACAGTTTCTGACAGTCCTCCCAAGCATTACATATATTGGGCATTATGTGCGACCCTTGATAATGTCAGGAGCTGCAGTTGAGGCCTCCTTTAGCTCATAAGTTGACAACCACTGATATACAGGGTTAAATCGGGTGTTGAGAAGGTGCTCTCCTCACCATTTGTCAAATGCCCTCTGAGGAGTGATTCACGTTGGATATACATGTGAGAAAGAGCCCTAATAAAACCTTAATTTCCAGTTTGGGTTTATAAACAGTGGTCTTAATGGGAGTGCTGAGTGTCACATTTAAAGCAGATCTTCACCGAAAAGGGGACGTTCCATCTTATGTCCTCTCATCCTCTACCATAGTTGGGTACCTGGTTTTGATGCTCCCACTTCCGCTAGCATCACCTGGGCCATGTCTCAGGTCTGGACCATGTCACAGGTCCCAGGAGGCTGCAGAACCATTCACAAAGAGCAGCTTGCACATGCGTAGTGGGAAGCCGGCTGTGTAGCAGCAAGGAGTCACAGGCGTCTTTTCCCAATAAATATGCCAGCATCAGGAACCCAAAGAACTGGCCCAGGTAAGGATGCCACTGGATCCTTGGACAGGTAAGTGTCCTTTTATTAATAGTCAGCAGCTACAGTATTTTCTTTCTAGGGTAAAGATCCTCTTTAAACAAGCTGCTAACAGGATTCAGTAGGCTTTAACATGCTTTGTACAAACCTCTAGTGAAGCCTGCTACCAACTTGTTTAAAGTGACAGTCAATACTACCATTTAGGCCCCTTTCACACGGGGCGGACCCATCAGTGGATCCACTTGCTGAGCGGGGGACCTCTCCGCTGATCCCTGCTGAGCAAGTGGATGGCAGATCCGTGTCCAGTCCGCTGCTACAGAGTGGACACAGACACAGCTATGGGCGGTGGATGGAAACTGACTGCCTTTCCCTTTCCATCCGTCTGTTATCCCATCCGATCTGACAGACGGAAGGGGAATAGCTCCCCATCTGTCTCTTTTTGGCGGATTGAAATGGAATGGATGTTGGCGGGTGTAAACGGACGCATGTTCATTTACAACCGCCGCTCCATGGAGGAAAATAGAGGTTCCATTCGGGTCCGCCTGAAAAACAAACAGTCAGACCCGATCAGAACGTCCATATGAAAAGGGTCTACGATCTGTGGTCAACTTCCCCAAACTGGAGCTGGAGGGTCCTTTAAAAGCCTCAGCAAACCTGCTCCAAACTTGCTGAAAGCTCTGCAAATGGTTTTCAAAAGCTTGCTGTATACACTGTTCTCATACGATTGATAGCACATATACACAAGGCCTATAAACTGTATCCATGTGAGCAGAGAAGAGAGAAGAATTTACACTGCTATACACAGGGGCGTCCCGAGGGCTGGTGTCACCAGGTGCGGCAACACTTGGTGTCACCCCTCCGACGATCCTTGCAGGATGGATCGGATCAGCGGATTGAGCATAATGGATCAGAGTCCGATCCATTATGTCCCCAATCCGCAGAGCCGATCCATCCTGCGGGGATCGTCGGCTTGCAACCTATACGGGGTTAACTGATCTCTCCACGAGCTCTACGAAAAGGAAAGTTTTAAAGCAAGCCGACGATCCCCGTAAAATGGATCGGATCTGCAGATTGGGGAGCATAATGGATCGGACTCCGATCCATTATGCTCAATCCGCAGATCCGATCCATCTTGCGGGGATCGTCGGCTTGCTTTAAAACTCTCCTTTTCGTGGAGCTCGTGGAGAGGGTCCAGGGTGACCCTGTACGATGGGTGTCATCCAGTGCGGCGTGCACCCCTCCGCACCTGCCTAGGGACGTCACTGGCTATAAACATCATTGGCAAAAGTGTGCAGTTTACTAGTCTCAGGAATATAACGGCTGCCCACCCTCTAGGGGAGGCCGGCGGTCGAACAGAATCCCAGCAGGACCCAGAAACTCTCAGCTATCACTGTCGTAGTGCCGACTTTTATAGTGATTGTCAGCTTCCCCAGCATATGCATACTGGACCAGTGTGAGAATACAATACCTGGAGTACAGCTTTAAAGCCGTATTAAACCTGAAAGCAAACATTTATTATATTGTAGCTTATCAATTTTTAGATGTAATGGCTGCATCCATTTTCTTTTTTAGGCTTTCTTTTCCTTATTTTCACCTGGCGATCTGGCCAGTAAGTTTGTTGTTTTTCATAAGAACAAGCTCTCCTGCAGGTGTATGGGGATGAGACAAATCAACACTGACAGGGGTGCTTACAATGATATCCCAAAAGGAAAAAAAGCTGTTTGCTTTAACTGCTTATAAAGTATCAGCTGGAGTTTATCTTCTATTTGATAGTGTATTTAAATCTGCTAGTACATCCAACACTCCCCTCCCCCCAGACTGACAATGCTGCTATCCAAAGGTGCCCCCTGTGCTCCTTCATCTAGAGAGGGCGGCGCTCTAATACATGAGGTGTGTTACTGGCCAGATCACCAGGTGAGAACAGAGGGGGAAAAAGCCTGAAAAAAAGAAAAGTGATGCAGCCATCACATTTAATGATTGATAAGCGGCAAAAGATTACATTTTTGGGTTTGGGTTTAACCGCTTCCCTCTGCCCTGTAGCAGAAATACTGCTACAGGACAGCAGGGGTGTGCAAAATCAGGTATATATATATGTGACTTTGCAATTCCCGCCATTTGCGGCCTCGGTTGTCAATGATTACTCGCCAGCACCCTGTGATCGCCGAGTATCTCAGACGGGGGAGAGCCCTTTATGTAAACAATACAGATCTCTCCCCTGTCAGTTCCTACACACTGCTTTGTATAACTCTGCATAGCAGAGCCATAAAAAGCAGGGTGCTTACAGTGAAACACAGACACAGCCCATGTAGTAAAACAGCACACAGTTAACCCTTTGATCGCCCCAGATGTTAACTCATTCCTGTCCAGTGCCATTAGTACAGTGTCAGTGCTTTGTATTAACACTGATATCTGTATTGGTGTCATTGGGGATGTCAATGACACCAAATCAGTTCCCCTCAGTGTCAGAATACCCGCCGCAGTCCCGCCATTGCTAGTAAGAAAAAAAAATTCCAATATCTATACCGCCATTTGTAAACGCTATAACTTTCACGTAAACAAATTAATTTACACGTATTGGGATTTATTTTTAGCAAAGACATGTAGCAGAAAACATTTTGGCCTAAATTTATGACGAAATTTGATTTTATACATGTTTTTACTGGACATGTTTAATAGTAAAAAAAGTCAAAAATATAGTTTTTTTTTCTCAAAATTGGCAGTCTTTTTTTGTTTTATAGCGCAAAAAATAAAACCCATTCCATGAAGCTCTCTATGCACTGTTGCTGTGATAATTTGAAGGCCACAAGAAGTTTGGAGGTCTTTAGCTATTGACTCTGCCGATAGTTACCAATTTCTGCACACTGTGCGCTTCAGCATGCGCTGGCCCGACTGAAGTGATCAAATACCACCAAAAGAAAATTCTATTTATGGAAAAAAAAGGACGTAAATTTCATTTGGGTGCAGCGTTGCATGATCGCGCAATTGTCAGTTAAAGTAACACAGCGCCGTATCGCAAAAAAATGGCCTGGCCAGGAAGGGGGGTAAATCCTCTGGAGGGCAAGTGGTTAATGTACCACATGCAGTACACTAGCAGCCAGGGCTCAGTAACCCATTGTACACGGCATTTACTATTTCCAGGCAGGCTGGTATCATGTACAGCCCACACATTAAGCTTCTAATAAGTGGGACCCACCCAGTCTCATCCTCCCAGCCAAGTACAACCTCTTCTACTGTGCATAGGAAGGAGACCCATTGAGAAGGCAGAGGCATGAAGAAGTGTAATACTAACAGTGTCAATGGAAGCATTGATTGAAAATGATGTTTGCGCAACAAGAGTAGACAAGGCATTAATACCGTAACACGCCAGGTATTATTTTTCTGACGCACATTAGAGAGAATACTCTCTGAGTTATTTCTAGGACACTTGCTACTCCCACATGGTCCCGAAATATAAGTGGAACCCTCATAGTAAGTGGCCCATCCCAAACAGGGTGTGTGAGCTTCATGATGCCGGGATAAAAGACGGTACTCACAATGTAGGTGCAGTTGGGGCTGAAGGCGTACGTCCCACAGGTGTACAGATGTGTGCCGTTCAGCTGCAGGAGGATCTTGATGTAGTTCTGACAATCATTCTGAAATTAGAAGACATTATTCATGTAAAAAATTGGACAGCGAGCGCAACGGAATAGGAGCTGCTAGCACAATGTGGCAAACCTTCTTCCTCCACTGTACAAATACATAAATCTAGGAGCAGCGATAATATAAACAACAAGTACGTGTATGTTGTACACTATCATAAAGTGTTGTGATGTCACAAGATTATTAATCAATTGACCAGAAATGAAATATCCAAAATAATATAAATCTTACAGCAAATATGTGAATAGGTTTACTATCCAATAATACAGTGTCAAGGAATGAATCATGTGTGTCAATGTTGACCAAAAATAAAATAGATAGTAAAAGCGTATTGTGCGAGTCAGTAGTGATCAATAATAAAAATGTGACATCCGTGACTTTTGGGATAATCCTCCACCACTATCCTCCAAACATGGAAAGGTTTCTTCACAGTGAGAGCTGTGAAACTGTGGAATAGACTCCCTCAAGAGTTGGTTCTGGCCAGCTCAGTGGATTGCTTCAAAAAAGTCCTGGATTGTTTCCTAGATACACAGAATATAACTGGATACTAACATTTATAGGTAAAGTTGATTCAGGGAATATCCGATTGCCTCTCGGGAGATCAGGAAGGTTCAACTGTGACATCCGTGACTTCTGGGATAATCCTCCACCACTAATCCTCCTCCAAACATGGAAAGGTTTCTTCACAGTGAAGCTGTGAAAATGTGGAATAGACTCCCTCAAGAGTTGGTTCTGGCCAGCTCAGTGGATTGCTTCAAAAAAGTCCAGGATTGTTTCTTAGATACACAGACTATAACTGGATACTAACATTTATAGGTAAAGTTGATTCAGGGAATATCCGATTGCCTCTCGGGGGATCAGGAAGGTTCAACTGTGGGTATAGGATTATTACTTTTTTTTTTCTATGGCTGAACTGGATGGACTTTTGTCTTTCTTCAGCCAGACTAACTATGTAACTATGCGCTCACCAGCAGCAAAAAATAAAGCAGCATTGGACAGAACCAGCATAAATGGAAAAGACTCCTCCAAATATATCCGTCCACTTCATGTCATCAATCACTGATCCAATAAAGGTGGAGTGCCTCCTGAGGAAAGAGCTCACAAACAGAGCCCAAGGACAGCTACATTGACAATAGCTGCACCCTGCTGCTGGGCCATGCTACGCCGTGCAACTCTACAAGTATGTATCGGTCCTATGAGATTGACGGAGAGCTGAGCCAATATATCTTCTGATTTGGTTCTCATTGACAGTCCATTCCGTTAAGCTCTCCGGCTGTGGCTGAGGCAGCTTCCAGATTTCTTGATATAATAGCCACTTTATAGTCTTTTTGAACTAGTAACTTGGCAACGGCTTTCCCAATCCCTCTGGATCCTCCAAAGACAGCACACACTTTACTCCACTCCACAAGGTTTCCTTCCAGCCTGTCCTTGGATCAACCAGCTCTACACTGCTCTACTCCTCTTTCTGGGTTCCAATCCTCGCTCTGGCTCCTGGTCTCCTGGTCAGTTCAGTCTACAGTACTTACCTGCACATAGGTTGATATAAGCAGGGCTTTTTTTTCCAGTGGAAACGTGGGGGGAACGCAGTTCCGGCACCTCCAGCACTGAATGTATGTAATGGTAAGGCTAAGGGTCCTTAACCCTCAAGTGGCGCACAATCTAAAGCCCATAACTCACATTCATACATACACATACTAGGGCCAATTTAGACAGGATCCAATTAACCTACCAGCATGTCTTTGGAGTGTGGGAGGAAACCAGGGGCAGCACAGTGGCTAAATGGTTGGCACTTCCGCCTGGCAGTACTAGGGTCGTTGGTTCAAATCCACCTGCCTGGAGTTTGCATGTTCTCCCTGTGCCTACGTGGGTTTTCTCTGGGTACTCTGGTTTCCTCCCAGAGACATGCTGGTAGGTTAATTGGCTCCTGTCTAAATTGTCCCTAGTATGTGTATGTATGAATGTAAGGTAGGGACCTTAGATTGTACACTCCTTGAGGGTTAGGAACTGATGTGAATGTACAATATATATATGTAAAGCACTGCATAAATTGACAGCACTATAGAAGTACCTAAAATAAATATAACTGGAGTACTCAGTCCCTGGGAATGAGACAAAGTCTCCCTGGGTGGCATATCCAACAGCTCCTGCTGCTGTCTCTGGGCCAATGAGAAGGAAGAGAGCCGAGGGATCCACTGCTCTTGGGCACAGCGTTGGATCACGTTCGGCTCAGGCACATATATAGAGGGAAGGTTTGCAGCAGGTTTTTTTACCTTAATGCAGAGAATGCATAAAAAAACCTTGTGCCTTTAGAACCACTTTAAGTTGAAGCATTCTGGTAACGGCTTTGTAATGCAGATGGTGTATCACATATACAACCCTATTACATTATTATCAGATGTTCAGCTGTAACCACATCTACTAATGGCTGCTGCATACAAACACATACAAAGCACATACTAATTTCCGCTTGTATTCAGGTTCATATGCATGGAAAAGGTCAGGTACAGTGCAAATATAAAATCAAAGTTACTGTGTCAATGGGGTGTGTAACTAAGGCGCGGTCGTACTTTGAGACGACTAATATATATTTATATTATGGAAACACACTCCTTTTTATGGTGTGCTGCAGACCACTTCTTTCCCACGAATGGCAGAGGACTGTCCCGACCAGCTCAATAACAAGAGAGAATCAGCTAAAAATAGTCAATGTAAGCAATAAGAACTAAAATAATGGGGCTTCCCGCAAATTGTGGTTTTAGGGTTTGTTCTCACTATAAGTCCTCATGCACACTTGACATTTGACAGCGGCTGTTTTTGGCTTTTGACATTTTTTTCTACAGCCACTAAACTCCCCAGCATGTTATCCTATGTGTCCATACACACATAGACTGTAATCAACGTTTTTTGGCTAGAAAAAAAACGCAGGACTAGTGGGTTTCTAGAATTTTTTTAGCTGTAAAAATGCACTAACACTGAAAAATGCGGTAAAACGTGTCAAACCAGTGTTTTTGAACTTTTTATTTTAAAATAAAAAACACTAAAAAATGCAAATGTGAAAAAACGCGTCAAAACTCCGCTAAACACTGATGCAAAAACGCTAAAAAAAAGCTGAAAAACTCACGTTTTTAACGTGACTTTACACAGCTAACATTACAAGAGTTATCAAAACGCCCCCTGTGTATGGCCCCTTAAAGCATATGACCAGGGGCGGACTGACAACTCATGGGGCCCCCGGGCAATAGGGTATCATGGGGCCCCTGTGTCCTTGCCCAAACTCAAAAAAGCCTATGAAAATGGTACCAGGGGCATCTCATGGGGCCCCCTACTGACCCTGGGCCCTCGGGCAGTGCCTGAGTTTCCAAATTGTCAGTCCGCCCCTGAATATGACAGTGGTGTTCATTTCTAAATACATTACACTGCAGTTTTGAAGGATCCTACTCAATTGACTTGAATGGCACCATACAGGGCAAGGCACCAAAATGCAGCATACAAGACATATTACCAGCATGTTGCAGAGCAATGCAATGCTGGCAATGGCTTTTAGAGTATCTCTAGCTGGTGATTTAGGCCTCATGCACACTGGATGGTATACAAATGCCAGTAGCGTTAGTTGTACAATTCCACATTAAAAACGTGAGCTTTGTTACATTTTTGCGTTAGCGCTTTTTCAGCAAAACTATACTCCCAGAAAAGCTTGGGACTCAAAAACGCTCATAAACGCAGGATAGCTGCATTTTCAGCGTTTTGCAGAGTCAGAGCGTTTTTACTGCTGAAAAACTCCTCTTCAAACGCAGTTGTTCTGGGAGGGGGGGGGGGGGTTTTCCAACCTTAAAACGTTCCAGCCAAAAAACACTGACAAAGTCCTATGTGTGCATGGACACACAGGATAACATGCTGGGGAACTTACTGGCTGTAGAAAAAAAAACACCTGATGGCCAAAACAGCCGCTGTAAAAACAGCCAGTGTGCATGAGGCCTAAGGATCTGGCTCCTCTTTGTCTGTCAACCAGTCAGCTTCTGCTTTTAAAAGTCAATTAGACTGGATAGCATAGAAACATTTACCAAATACACTACAGGTTATACAGAGTTACATAGTTGGTAAGGTTGAATAAAGACGCCAGTCCACCAGTCCTATGTTCACAATGGTGAGCCTAGAAAATTGGTATTATAATTGCATTGCATTCATAGTCAAACCATTGCTAATGCACTCTTGGAAGCAATTAATCCATTGTTTTTCATGGGGAGGGCCTCCAACATTGCTTGTAGCAGCATGAAAAAAAACATAGGAAGAAATGTAGAGGCCACCAGAATATTCATTGTCATATATCCACAGTCCTAATCACCAACCGTCTACTGGCTATACCAGTTCTATGTTCAAAATATTGAACCTTGTGAACTGATATTATAATTACACTTTCTATTCATAGTGACCCCATTGCTAATGCACCCTTGGATGCAATTAATCCATGGTTTTTCATGGGGAGGCCTCCAACATTGCTTGTAGCAGCATGAAAAAACATAGGAAGAAAATGTAGAGGCCACCAGAATATTTGTTGTCATATATCCACAGTCCTAATCACCAACTGTCTACAGAATATACCAGTCCTATGTTCACAATATTGAACCTTGTGAACTGATATTATATTTACACTTTGTATTCATACTGACACCATTGCTAATGTGCTCCAGGAAGCAATTCGTGTTTCCATGGGTTGGCTCCCCACATTGCCTAGACAGCATGAGTAACCATAGGAAGAAAACAGAGGCCACCAGAATGATTCTTTGTCGTGCATCCGCAGTTCTAATCACCAACTGTCTACAGGCTATAACCAGTCCTATGTTCACAATACTGAACCAAGTGAACTAGTATTATAAATGCACTGCATTCATAGTGACGCCATTGTTAATGTGCTCCAGAAAGCAATAAATGCATGAATTTCTATGGTGAGGTCTCCAACACTGCTTGCGCCAACATGAGCATCCTTAGGAAAAAAATGTACAGGCCACCAGAATAATTATTGTGCCATATATATCTCCAAGGAGCAGGGCCCTCCTATCCCTCTTGTATTGAACTGTATTGTTGCTGTATTGTCTCCCTTATATTGTAAAGCGCTGAGCAAACTGTTGGCGCTATATAAATCCTGTATAATAATAATAATAATATATTCACAGTCTTCATCACCAACTGTCTACAGGCTATACTAGTTCTATGTTCACAATAGTGAGCCTTGTGAAATGACATTATAATTGCACTGCATTCATAGTGACACCATTGCTAATGTGCTCCAGGAAGCAATTCATGCACAATTTTCCATGGCGAGGCCTCCAATATTGCCCAGGCAGCATGATCAACTAAAGGACGAAAACGCAGAGGCCACCAGAATGATTGTTGTGTCATCTATCTGCAGTCCTAATCACTAACTGTCTACAGAATGTACCAGTCCTATGTTCACAATGGTTACCCTGGTGAACTGATATTACAATTACACTGTATTCATAGAGGCACCATTGCTAATGTGCTCAAGGAAGCAATTGATTTCAATGAGGAGGCCTCCAACATTGCTCAATGCAGCATGAGAAACCATAGGAAGAGGGAAATGTAGAGGCCACCAGAATGATATGTTGCATATCCACAGTCCTAATCACCAACTGCGTACAGGCTATAACCAGTCCTATATTCACAATGGTAACACTGGTGAACAGAGATTGTAATTGCATGAGGCCTAAGGATCTGGCTCCTCTTTGTCTGTCAACCAGTCAGCTTCTACTTTTAAAAGTCAATTAGACTGGATAGCATAGAAACATTTACCAAATACACTACAGGCTATACAGAGTTACATAGTTGGTAAGGTTGAATAAAGAAGCCAGTCCACCAGTCCTATGTTCACAATGGTGAGCCTAGAAAATTGGTATTATAATTGCATTGCATTCATAGTCAAACCATTGCTAATGCTCTCTAGGAAGCAATTTATGCATTGTTTTCGATAGGGAGGCCTCCAATGTTGCTTGTAGCAGCATGAAAAAACATAGGAAGAAAATGTAGAGGCCACCAGAATATTTGTTGTCATATATACACAGTCCTAATCACCAACTGTCTACAGGTTATATACCAGTTCTATGTTCACAATATTGAACCTTGTGAACTGATATTATAATTACACTTTCTATTCATACTGACATCATTGCTAATGTGCTCTAGGAAACAATTCATGCACTCTTTTCCATGGGTTGGCTCCCCACATTGCTTAGACAGCATGAGTAACCATAGGAAGAAAACAGAGGCCACCAGAATTATTGTTGTGTCGTGCATCCGCAGTTCTAATCGCCAACTGCCTACAGGCTATAACCAGTTCGATGTTCACAATGGTAACACTGGTGACCAGAGATTATAATTGCACTGTATCCATCGTGAAACCATTGCTATTGCTCTCTAGGAAGCAATTCATGCATTATTTTCAATAGGGAGGCCTCCAACGTTGCTTGCAGCAGCATGAGAGGCCATAGGAAGAATATTTAGAGACCACCAGAATAATTGTTGTGTCATATATCCGCAGTCCTAATTGAAAACTGTCTACAGGTTATAACCGGTCCCATGTTCATAATGGTGAGCTTAGTGAACTGATATTACAATTGCACTGTATCCATAGTGACACCATTGCTAATGTGCTCCAGGAAGTAATTCAGGCACAATTTTCCATGGGGAGGCCTCCAACATTGATTGCAGCAACATGAGCAACCATAGGAAGAAAACATAAAGGCCGTCAGAATAATTGCTATGTCATATATCTGCAGTTCTAATAACTGACTAACTCTACTACCATTGTGCAAAGTGCTACTAAACAACTAGACAAGCAGAGGCTTGCTGAAGCCAGGTGAAGATATAGGAAATTTCACAATATAATTTATTAGCTTTTCCGCATTGTTTTGTGAAAAAAAAAAAAAATCATAGCTGATCCAAGTTTCTAACATTCAAGGTTAATAAATCAGAATCGTCCATCAATACATAATTATCAATGCAGCACAAAGAACAATGAGGATATGCCAAATGTTGTAACCCACAGCCAAAAATCAGCTGTACGGTTTCCAAATGTGGTTAATGCACATTCCCAATGCTCTCGGCATTGCCTAATGAAATAAATCCATAAACTTGCTATTGTGATATGTATTGTAGGATACAGAACATACCTGAGCATCTTTTCCCTTAAAAGTGCACTCCTTCTTTTTAAGCTCTTCTGCTTCCCACGTCAGCTGGAAGAGTAAATAAGTACGGCATTACTAAGGGACATGGCAGAGCCGCTCTGTCACACTATTAGAGAAAGTAGAAAGAAATGACCTACCATGGAGTGAGACATGAAGTTTGTGCTGTTCAGTGAGAACAGAGCCTCCCGTGCTCCCACATACAAAGTGTTCCCATCTTCACTCAGCAGGAGTGTGGTGTAATGGCTGACCCCTTCCGCTTCAAATCTCTTGATTGTCCTCTCTGGAGAACCTGCATAAACAGAACAGAACACTGAATTAAAATCCTGCAGTACATAAATAGCCAGCTTCGTGTATAGAAGGTTATAGTGAGATGTAAATGGGAAAGCTTATTGGGTCAGAACCATATATATATATAAAAGAAATATTTTTATTTTTTAAATATATATTGGAATATAGCTTTTTTCTTATAATAAATTTTATTGTGCCCTAAATATCTGACCCATTTATACTCATTTTACATAAGAAGTAGGTTTCACAATATGATTATTTTGTTTGAACCATGGAATATTGGGGACCGGTCATGAATAGGAATTGAGTGCACTCCCCTTTCCCGATAATTTAAAGTGAACCTTTCCAGATATCAATAGTGATACCTTCATAATCTGCTTCAGCAGATATTTTGAACACACTTTTTTTCCAAACCATACGGGTTTAGAGGACTGAACAGCATAGCTATGGATATGTCATTTTTAGCTATTTGTCTAAAGTCTATGTCTAAGCCAGTCATTCCCAACCAGGGTTCCTCCAAAGGGTGCCTTGAGCGGTGGCTGATTGACATGTGCCTGCATATTTACAAGGTCAGCACCACTTGGCAGAACCAACTGCATGGTTCAATGATCTTTTTAGTTGTCGGTAAGGGTGCCATCCTGACCAACACTGTAAGGGGGGCGTTCTTCCCACTGACCACCAATGAAGGGGCATTTTTCCCACTGAATAGGTTTTAGCAAGGGTTCTCCAAGACCTGAAAATTATTTCAAGGGTTCCTCTGGGGCAAAAATGTTGAAAAAGTCTGATCTAAGCTATCATCTCTATTTCTAACCATCGCCCCTGGCTGGTGATGCATGCAGAGAGCAGTGACACATGACTCCAATAGGACAGGCAGAGGTGTCTTTGATTTGCAGGCCCTGATTGACATGTTCTCAAGGCCATGGTGCTCAATGGAAGGAATAACCAGATCTCTGCGGACAGACTGGAGGAAAGTTTTTGTTCAGTGATTTTGCAATGGTTGTTTATAAGCAGAATAGTTTATATCTGGCAGCAGTTTCTGTAAATATTGGCAAAGGAAAGCGTTGTTTTAATAAAAAGGTGGAAAGTGCAGTGATTTGCAGTAACTGAGGGAAGATAAAAAAAAAAAAGAAGAAATCTGCTTCCATTACTGCAGCTCTACTAGGCGAGGAATACCTTTCACATGACCCTGTGGACTTGTCAAAAACAAGGCCCATGGCCCACCAGATAATTTCATGGCCCTCACAACTCTCCTGCAGCTACGGCATCCCCCCTCGTCTCCGCCGTCCACTTGTCTCAGCAGTCATCAACAGAGGAGAACAGAACTCCTCCGGCAGATCCCGCGACTCTCTGGTCCTCCTCCAGGCCCTGCACTTTCAGCTCCACCCCCCAGCTTAATCCCATCTGTGAGGGTGGGGGAGTCTTGACTTCTGCTGGTGGAGGGGCTCTAGATGTGCAATTTCATAGGTTGCCATAGACTTCTTTGTGCTGTAGAACAATACATTTGCGTTGCAATAGTATAGCATGAACCAGCCCCAGGTATAATGGATGACTTATGCAAAACATCTACTATTTTTTAATTCTGTTTGTATGTCATGTGTGAAAAATGAAGATGTCTGCCAATCTCTACCTCAATAACCTGCTAAATCCCAGACATTTCTTTGGATGGTAAAGGTTACCAAATACAACTGCTGAAAAACAGAAATAATTGATACAATATCACTCAATACAATATCAATATACTGTATACAACTACAGGCAGCTTTGCTCTATACATGAGATATATATATTTATATATATATATATACATACAATATATATACAGGGCTTTTTTTCTCAGAGAATAGGTGCAGGAACGCCTCCCTTCGGGATCAGTTCTTGTCTCTGCCACCTACCCATCCCTAAGCACAGTACCTTGGTTCAGCCCCCTACCCACCTCCCAGTACAGATCCTTATAGAGAATACACAGCCAATCGTCATTTTGTGGTGCTAAGTACTTTGTATGGAAGGTGTTAATGATAACAAGAAAAGCAGTACAATAGACTCCCCACAGCCAGCAGCAATAGAGCTCCCCCCTCCAGCAACAATAGAGTCCCCCAGCAACAATGAACCCTGGCAACAAAATACCGCCCCAGCAACAATAGCCCCCCAGAAGCAATAACAGATCCCCAAGCAGCCAGCATCAATAGATCCTCCAGCAGCCAACAACAATAGATACCTCCCTAAACAGTAGATCCCTTCCAGCAACAATAGATCCACCACCAGCAACAACTGACCTCCCCAGCAACAGTAGACCACCATGTAAAAGTAGATCCCCTCCAGTAACAATAGATCCCCCAGCAGCCAGCACTGATAGACCTTCCAGCACACCCCAGCACCCCTTGCTATTACATACATTCAGTGCTGGAGGTACTGGAACTGCGTTCCCCAGCGTTCCTGCTGAAAAAAAAACTCTATATATATTTATACATACAGAGTATATATATATATATATATAGATATATATAGATATATATATATACAATTGTACCTTGGTTTACGAATGCCTCGGTTAACGTAATTTTCGGTTTACGAATGAAAATCCATTGAAAATAATGCCTCGGTTTACAAATTTTTTTCACAATATTAAGCAAGTTTCCCCAGGATGCATTGCACCTGGGAGGTTTATAGCGCTGGCCCCGTACCTTTAAAGTGCACTTTATAAAGAGTTTTGAACAGATAAGACTTTTTTTTTTTTACTTTTTTCTGACCCCCAGAATGGATTTATTGGTTTTCAATGCATTTACAAATTTTTTTCGCAATACGAAGCAAGTTTCCCCACGATTAGTTGCTCCTGGGAGGTTTAAAGCACCGGCCTCATGCATGCTGGAGTCTGCGGGTAGCACGTGGCGTCCAGTGTGGAGGTGTTGGAGTGGTTTTTGAATCGAGTTTTGGAGCCATTGTGGAAATTTTTAATCATGTCCCTGTACGGTATTTATGCCTTTAAAGTGCACTTTATAAAGAGTTTTGAACAGATAAAAGACTTTTTTTTTAACTTTTTTCTGACCTCCGGAATGGATTCATTGGTTTTCAATGCATTCCTATGGGAAACTGCATTTCAGGTATACGATTTTTTCACAATATGAAACGACCAGGAGAACGCATTAAATTCGTAAACCGAGGTACATATATATATATACCGAGGGTGTATGTATATATATATATATATATATATATATATATTTTATTGATTTATTTATAGGCAGAAGAACTATTATCAATGAGAATTCAGGCTATTTGTTCGCCAGTAGCTAAAACTATCTCCTGCAAGATCACAATTATTAACTAACTTACGGTATGTAAAACGGAATATATACTCAAATATTTACCAACTAAAAAACTCTACAGAACTACAAAAAAAGGGTTTATGGTAGTGGAAACTATATAATCCATAAACAATACGGAATCAGCAATGTGGAAATGTTCTGAATAATTTGGAGGTGTGGATTCTGTATGTAGAAGACCTGTATCGCTTCCCTTGTCACCACAGGCACTGCGCCGATCAGTTGATCCCCCCAGTGGGGAGGAACACAGGACAAAGTAGACAAACTGCGTCCTTTGAATGGCTTTCCAGCTCATTAATAACTATATGAGGTGATAGCTATTCCCCTGGGTGAGCCGGAGCACGTTCTTGTCTCCTGTTGCCTGCACATATTGCTTGTGTTGCTGGATGCAGATCTTTGGCTCAGAAATGCGATATCAATATGTTCACCAGCAGGACTGACGCTCCACTCCAAACCATGGGGGAAAGAAATCAGCCAGGATATTCTCGGGACTTTATCATCATTCAGGTCATGTCTATCCCCACAATGTAGATCTGTAATGAACGTCGTACAACTTGCTCTACTATTTACATCAAAATATTCAGTGCTCTGTGTAAATATGGATGTCTAGATTTTGTATTCTTCTAAAACTTGGGTATTCTTACGCAAATACACTCAAACATATTCCTTTATCTATCTTCCTGTTAATTGTCATCAGACTTTCACATACTGCATATAATCATGTAAAAAAAGGAAGCTAATACAAGAGGTTGAGCCATGCAGTTGTAATTCAATAAAAGGTTATCTAAACCCAAGAACTCAACATGTAATATATTGTAACCAGGGGCGGACTGACCATTTGGAAACTCGGGCACTGCCCGAGGGCCCGGGGTCAGTAGGGGGCCCCATGAGATGCCCCTGGTACCTTTTTCATAGGCTTTTTTAAGTTTGGGCAAGGACACAGGTGCCCCATGATCCCCTATTGCCCAGGGGCCCCATGAGTTGTCAGTCCGCCCCTGATTGTAACTTTCCCATCCTTAGATATGGGGGCTGCATTGGTTTTTCTTTTTTCAGGATTTTACACTTTGATTTGCACTTGGTGATCCTTCCAGTAATATACACCCTTTCCTAGAGTGACAACGTTCACTTTGCTGTATCTATGGAGGAATGGGGTTGTCACCCTTGGACAGGAAGTGTTAGGATTGCAATACACCTAACCCCACCTCTCCAGAGCAGAGCTGTTCTAAAGCATAAAAAGAGGACTGGGAATAATGCTAGTTGATAAGAATGCAGCAAAGGCCCATAGTACAGGGTGCTATCAGTTCAGAAGAGTTATGGCAAGATCAACAGGTATTTTTTGAACACAGAACAGATTTAATACAATGCTTTCTACTGTATATTCAGAAGACCAAAATGGAGCAAATAAGTAATGACCACTGTTGGGGTTCACATACACTTTAAAGTGTTACTTGAGATTTTCCTGTATGCTGTACAAGATGCTTCTTTTGAAACCTACTAAAAATTCATTATAAAAAAAAAATAAAGTGTTACTAAAATCTAGATTTAAAAAAAAATTAAAGCAACAAACATGCTATACTCACCTGCTCTGTGCAGCACACAGAGTGGCCCGATCCTCCTCTTCTTGGGTCCCCCACCGGCAATCCTGGCTCCTTTTCTTTTTTGCGTGTCCCCGTAACAAATGG